CCTCATCCCAGAGGCTAGGAACTAGTAAGTGGCATGGGGCTCCCCTCTCCACTTGAAGAGAAATTTGAAGTGGAGAGACCCAGAGGAAATGCGCCTGTACCACAATCAGTCCTTCAGCTGGAAAGGTCCTTTACTGGAGACAGTGTAATGGGTGACCATACATTCCTATTTTGAAAAGCCAGCAAGTGCAAGCCAGGGAGGCAGGCAGAACACCCCTTGGTGCTGGCTTTTTCCAAGATAGTCTATGGAATAGGTACAGTCTGTATTGGACAGTAGTAAAATATATAAATATACCACAATAATATCTCAAATGGTCTTGCGGAATACCCCATCTCACAGTGAGCATATATGAAGCCAGTGTAAATGGTATAAGTGCTTTCCATCATCCTGGCTTGATGCAGTATTTTGGGAAATAAATACCATTGGAGGCACCACCAACAACCTGGCAGGATCCTAAAAGCAAATCCTGTAAAAAAAAAGAAAGATACTCATCAGTCTAGAGATGGTGGGTAGACTTTGTAAGTTGGCAGAAGCAGGCTGTAACCTATGGGAGACAAGACAGCCAGATGGTGAAGAGCATGGGCAATGAAGGTGTGAAGAGTAATCTACATGTCTACCTGAAGAAATTTGGCCAGCAGCCATTGGAAATGGGCAGTAAGAATGATAGAGGTGAAGAATCTGATGGAAAAAATGTGGAACAGTCTGCGAGCCTCAATCCTCAATCAGGAATAGACTAAGCATAGAATTAGTTGGACCTAACATGTAAGTGTATACATATAAATGTCTCTGGAGGAATACAAGTTCCAGGGAGACAAAGAGTCAGTGATGGGAGCCTCGAAAATGTGTAGTACAAGATAAGTAGCAAAGAATGGCATGAGCAGGGCACAATTGTCTGTCCAGATCCAACCGATCATAGGAGAGAGAGATAGAAGGGTCACCTTCTCAAGTGGCCAAAGTCTTAGGGAAGAAGGACCAGTCAGGATAAAGAAGAATATAAAAATAATGGAAGAGAGCATTGAAAGAATCGATAGTATAAGTATCCGAACAAAGGCGACCACAGGTGAGAAGTAAGAAGAAATAGGTTTTGAGAGAAAGATGGAATAACGTGCAAGTTGCCAACGGCTCAAAGGGGTTCCTGGGTAAGAGTGAACAGAATGATACTGAGGTCATAGTCAGGCATGGGAGTGGGGGTGAAGGGGTATATGAGAAAAGAAGGAATGGAACAACGTGGAGAGAACTGGGGGAAAACACCCAGTGGTATCAAGAAAGGTAAAATGTTGTAGACAAGGCAGCACAATAACAGGCAATGGTGGAGACAGCTAATTCACAGTTGAACAGCCAGGCAAAGAAAGAAGAGAGTTAGCCAACAACAGGATAGTCAGGAGGAACGTGACAAAGGATGGATCAATGGCGAAAGACATGCCATTTATCCTGGTAGGTGGACAAAGTGGAAGAGTAACTGGAATGAAAAATACAATATGGCAAATCTGTTTCTACAGGCAAGGGACTAGACAAATTCCAAACATGAAGCTAGAGGGAAAAGATCGCTTGATGGAACAGTGACATGTGAGATTAAAGCAAGAGAGAGTACAGATGGCAGGGGGAATAGGGGGTTTGGTTGTCAGGCAATACAGAAGAGGGTATCAATGTTGAGTCAGCTGGAGGAATGCCACCAAGAGGTCATGACAAGGAGTGTCTCAAATCAAGGCCAGGACACAAGGTAAAAGATGGAGAGGTGGGTAAGCATAAAACTAATCTTAGCTTAAAGTATCAACAGCAAGGGCCTAGAGATGGGTAACAGGAAACCAGAAGAGAAGAAGCTTGAAATTTAGAGGGGTGGCAAAGGAATCAATGACTGGAGTCCTCAGGAGAGAGCACACCGAATGGAAAACCTGGGGTTTAGAGACCATTTAGTGGGCAGAACACTTTCCAGCTTAAAGAGGTGGTTCATAATCAGGTTCACAGCACCTGGTACATGGCACGTAATGAGATGAACCCATTGAGAATTGGCCCAGGGTTTGAAGGTAAAGGGTCCTAAATCAGGTTTCCCCTTGGTGATCGATATAGGAAAACTATGGAGTTGTCAGAATAGATCATAACAAAATGATCATGAGGAGAGGTGAGAATAGAAGCATTTCCAAGAGACTAACAAAAGTTCAAGTGCATAATATGGAGAGAGGACTCATCCTGGGTCCATGGGCCCAATGTGATATTGTCATTCAGAGATACTCCCCAACCAGATATGGTATCATCAGTGAAAAGAAGCAGGTCCAGTTTGGGTGGAGATCATGGAATGCCAATGATAATATTGCATTGGTCCAGACACCAGTACAAATCCTCAAGTAGATGAGAGTACAAGCGAACCATTGAGGTCAAAGGTTCCCCATGAGTGGTTTCAACTGGTCCCACATGGACCAGTGGAAGAGGCACATATGTGTGTGACCCAAAGGGTTAAGCAGATTCAGTGAAGCCATGGTCCACAATAGCAAAAATCTTTTCATGCAGTATGAGTAAAATAGGCATAAATCGTGGTGACTAGTTGTTCTATAGCTCACAATTGGATTGGAGAAATTTCGCACAGCTAAGAAAGGATATGAAAAACACTCCAGGTGAATAAAATATTGAGTGGGGGTGAGGAAAAATTTGGAAGTGTTGACAAACACCACCTTGAAATGTTGTAGATAGATGGGATCAGATGGAGGAGGACAGAAAATCAGATGAGGGCTGAGAGGGAAAAGGGAAGAGAACTGGAGAGAAAATATATAGTGGAAAGAAAGAGTAACCCCTCTGCAAATGAAAAAGTGTAACCACAGGGGCTCAAACTACAACGACAGGCACATTCAGGACTCAAACGACTTAGTAGCCACTGACGAGCTCAACAAGTCCAATGTCAGGTAGAAGAGGGAAGTTCAGAAGTGGAAGTTGAGGTACAGTGGTGGACAGTTGGATTTGGGACAATGTGAAAACTAAGGACAAAAGCAAGGACTGATGATGGGCAGCCTCAGCCCATAATTCAATCAAATTAGGAATACCCCTAAAAACTTCAGGGCAAAGAAAGGGGCTAGGAAAAGATCTCGTAGAAGAGAAGAAAGAAATCAAATCTGGGAATGGAGAGTATCCCAACCCAACAATTCCCAGCAATAAAGAGCCTAGTGAGCAAAGAAATGGTAGAAGTGGAATAGGCTATAGTGGAAAAGTGAACAAGAAACACACAAAAATTCTCTGGTGCATGATGGACTTGAGGTGTGAAGGGTACAGGTAAAGAAGTATGGTAAGAAGGATCAGGCAAAGACAA